GTGGCAAGGCATTCTCCCACAGAGGGTATTTGTCATATCTTCCTACGAACCCTCTGTTCTAATACGGCCATATTTTCCAGTTCTGGTAAAATCCCCTAGCAGCAAAATGTCGCAACACAAATTATCTCCCTTCTTTCTATCCAATCAGAACACGTTTTACATCGACTTACATCCAACTTGACTAATACAAGCAAATGTGGGGCCACAAATAACCCTCCTCTGCCGGGGACTTGTGCTGATGTGACACACAAGACATTTAATGGCTAGCGTGTCCGTTGTCAACGAGGGCGATGCAGACGCCATTGATCCGCCATTACATGACTGAGTTCTGTCTAGAAAAAATGTTTGCGCATCGCGCAGGGGAAGAGGTTCTAGTTTTCTCGAAGCATACGGAAATTGCCGAGGCCTTGCGAATGATCACTTTTGAAACAACGTCGCTGACTGCACAACCAAATCTGATTGCAACCAATCACGAATCTTGAACACTCGCACCATGAAAGGGCCGTATTAGAACAGAGGTTCGTAGGAAGATATGACAAGTAACCTCTGTGGGAAGAGAATGGTGTCAAGGCTAAAAATGAAGAAAGTCTCAGGGCTCGTTTTCATTATAGTTTATTTTTTATATTATGAACTTTTTTTCTGTTATATATGTTTATTTCAGAGACTAGTTGTTAGTCTTCTACAGGACTAATTCCTGCCTTCTCTTTGTTATGTAGCTGGAATATACTATTCACACGTTGCTAAGGATCAAATCATAGATTCAACAGAAAACTATGATCTGGGGTCTAATTTGGTTTACATATCCAAACTTATTGTAAGCATGGATTTAAGGTTTCAGTATGTCACTGCATCTTGCGGATCCCATACCTACTATTGACAGGTGTTGTGTACTTGTCAATGACTCATTCCATGATTTGCAAAGTGGTTGATTGGTGCCATGAAAACCATTTTTATGGTTACTCATGTATTAAGTGCAGAAGGTTAGATTAAAGTGGTTGTTTGCCTAAAGAAGGGTTACCATATTACTATTTATCCAGTTTTAAATGGATACAATTTCAAATTGTAAATCTATGTTTAAGTAAAGTTGGGAATTTTTGTGATCCTTAGCAAAGTGTGAGTAGTATATTTCAGAGAGTGGCGTTAAACATGAAACAAGCAAGTAAAACAAACAAAACAGCGTCTCCTAAAAAAATGGATGATAATGACATAAACAATGTACTCTGGCCTCGATGTACCAGATCTAAATACCAGTTTGTCGCTAAATTCTTTTTAAAATATTAACAGAGTAGAAAGATGCAGGATTTAACTGTGTATGTGATATATACATGCTGTTTCATTAATCTAAAGGTAAATGCATTCCGTTGATGTATGTAGCCTTGAAATATATTGGGGGTTTTCACCATTATGGTAATTCATTTTACAGAAAATACATTGAAAAGCTTCAGGTAAACAAACAAGAATAACACATTTGGTAAATATAAATGTGAAGTTTGTGATAAAATTTTCTGCTTTAGTTATTCCTACCAAGAGAAACAACATTTTCACCCTGGCTGTGCCACTCAAGAAACTGACCCCTGTAGTCCCAGGTCGACGCGATGAAGCCATTATTTACATAAGTAATGTCAAAAGTTGGAATTAATACATATTTTTACGTAACACATAAAATAGTTATTTCACATTCATCCATGAGTTATGTAAGTTTTCTTACTTTTTTAGACTTAATGACTTCAAACTGTGGGTACCTCAAGATTACAGGCGTATGTTCCTAGATTAGGATTACTTTTACTCATGTAAAATCATGATACAACCAGCAAAGGTCTCATTTTATATTTAATTAGACTCCGAATACATCTATGTTTCAAGTCTGAAAAATTTCAGTTATCCACGGTTCAACCTAGACTACGCTTAGTCTCTGAATATACATAATTGTCATGATAGCAAATAAACCCATTTAAATTGAAAAGTATCCCCAGTGAGGTGGGAGATACCTGTAGAAATCTAGACTTGCTTCATTTTGCGCTTTAGCACTGCATGGAGGGATAGGCAGAAGGAAACATAATGTGGTTCAGGGACTGTGACTGACTGAGTTTGGATTTACGCCGCTTTTAGCAATATTCCAGCAACATCACAGCGGGGGACACCAGAAATGGGCTTCACACATTGTACCCATGTGGGGATTCGAACCCGGGTCTTCGGCGTGACGAGCCAACACTTTAACCATAAGGCTATCCCACCGCCCCTTCAGGGACTGTGAGACGGACTAGATTGAACCTGATTGTGTCTGGTACAAACCGGATTTTCATGTCATTATGCACTTGGTGGAAGCTAAATCAAGTTCTTTAAATTGAGCCGAGAATCAAGATGTGTTCTGATTTGCATAAATATGCAGAACAGAGCCATTACCTACCATCAGAAATAGATGGCGACATTTGAGCATTTCATTTCAATCATTTTCACAACATCCACTGTAAATGAGTGAAAAATCAGAGGCATATTTTTTACAGATCACTGGTGTGTTCTGAATGCAGTTCCAGGGCTCCAGATAATTTTTCAACATCAGGAGTACGTACTCCTTATTTGTTCAATATAGGAGTACTGGAAAACCTTAAGTGTACATTTAGAGTACTGAATGGAAATTAATGGACTATCAGTAATCTTGTGTTTCGTTTCATATATGCACCACAATATTGCTACTCTTGTGTAAACAGTTCAATAAACAATAAAACAATACTTTTTCAGATAAATACGCCTGTAAATGATTCTAAGACCGTTCACCATTGCTGTGGTGCGTATCTGCTACGTTTTCTAAATTATTTCCTACCGTATCGTGCATACGTTTTATCCGTACATACGCCGATACGGTCCTTATCTGGAGCCCTGCAGTTCCAAATGCATGCTGGGCTCTCTGAATCTGCTAAAACAATAACCTTTTGATATGTTCCATGTCATATTTTTAAGGAATTGTACCTGAGTGACGGTTTGAGTAAATGTAAGATTGGGGCTATAAATGCCTTTCATTATTTCAATTTGGGAGACTGACACAGTCTACATTGATGCATCAGTGAAGCCGATTCACTCATGTGTCACTCGTGAAATAGCTGCTCGACTCGATTATTGCAGCCTTTTGCAATTTTCCATCACTAACACAGATGTTACTTGTCTCTCTGAATAAAACATAGATGAAGATTGTCAACCAGACCGAACACATCCTGGATCTGACCTGTTTTCCGAGACATTAATAGGTTCTGCGTGAGTTGTTTAGGTATTGCATCAGATTCTCACAAAGAGTGCAGCATCCTGGTTTTTTTAGCCTACATGTAGAACAAAGCATACCTGCTCAACTTGAGCTGGTGGGATATCTTGCAATAAAATATTCAACATGGGTTAATGTCTAAAATAGGTTATGAATTTTATAATTTCTGAAACTCACACAAACAATTTTGGAACTACTGTTTTAGTGTTTGAAACACTTGACAATGGAACATATCTCAGAGTATCTTAGAAGTTATTAGAACCTGAAACATGTTTAATTCTTGGAAAACTCACTTCACTTACTAAAATGTCATGACTGAATATTTCTTGAAGATTAAGGAAGTTTTTGTTTATGATATAGTGGTCATCACTTTAAAGTAGCAAGTTGCATCATTTTACATTGGATGTGAAATTTGCAAATAAATATAAAAAAACCAAAACAAAAAAAAACCATGTAATACTTATCTGCAATAACCTGAATAGGAAAATCTGACAAATTACGGTAACCAATTTTTTTGATTATTGCTCATTGGTAATGAGCCAATTATCAATTGTGAGATTACAACCAATTCCAAACACACGTGTGTGTGTGTGTGTGTGTGTGTGTGTGTGTGTGTGTGTGTGTGTGTGTGTGTGTGTGTGTGTGTGTGGTGCGTGCGTGCGTGTGTTTAAAGTGGGAGTGGGCATGATGAGTGAGTGAGTTTAAAAATACCCCAGTAATACATGGGCTTCACACATTGTAGCCATGTATGGAATCGAAGCCTGGCTATTGGTGTGACTCATGCACCCAAATTAACCCACTACCCAAAAATGTTACGGAACAATCAACTCTCTCTGGCATGGCATTACAGATCAACTACAGCAATATGAAAAAGTAGGTGGTGTTTAACTTTAGTTTATTAGTATATAAGTGGAATATTGCCAGGTGTCGCATGAAAACACTTTTAAATCAGGTAATAACTACTTATTCTGTTATGACTTGAATGTCTCACCGAGGTCATTAATATTTGTGTATTGTATTTAACTTCTAGATTTATTTCCCTGTTTTAGATAAAGGCTAAAGCTGGATAGACATATTTTTAATATGGATAGATTTCGCTGGCATAAAATACAGAAAATCAACAGTTGTGGCACAGGACTATAGTTATATCTTATAGTAGTTATCAAATGAATCTTCTCACCATCTTAAATTCAATTGTTATACAAATAATTATATTTTATCACAAAAAGGCTGGATTTCTTTTCTATTACAATGTGTTTATTATCTTTTTTGAGAAAAAATTATTGCTACCATATTTATAATATTATGAGATGTGAACAGGATTTGACCACGCCCCCTCCTGTCTGTCAAACCATAACCCAGGGGTCACGCTCACCTAGAGGTCACGAGTTGACCTGATTCCACATATTGCGGTTTTCATAACTGGCACTTAATCTACATCAGTTTGTATACTGAGAAATATTCCGAAATATGAAGTACATGTTATATGACATTTATGTATTGCCCATGTCAGATAACGGAGTTGGAACTTCGGAATCAGGTCAAGCCGGCCGACTAGCTTCATATCATCGAATGATCTCGAACAGGGACGCCTCATTCACTGAAATAGATTATATTATGTCTTTGTGATATAACCCAAACTTCATCGAATGTATTTGTTAATTAAATAATGAATAATAACTGTAAAAGTTCATATCAACAGAAGAAAATGTTTTGGGAGAATAATGTACTTGAGATAAGCCGTTACCTTGACATCCTCGAGAATGTCTGCGAGTGCTTCGCGTACGTCATCAAAGGGGCACTGGATAGAAAGACACAGAAGTTCGGGGAGATATTCTGTCACTATGGGCTGAAACCCGTTGATGTCCGTTTCGCCATGTATCTGTTTAGGGCTGCCGTATCCATCCAGCCAAGCATCAAAAGTTTTTTCGGATTGAGTCAATGCCCAGCCGACGAGCGGCCGAGTCGCGGTGGCACAAGACATGAAAGAACCGGAGGGATTCTTCATCTCGCAAGCTGGTCAGCGCAACCTCATCTGCCATCCAACCACCAGTGATCCTGAACCCCTTAAACGAAGTCACAGAGTTGTTCTGTCAGTCAGAACCCGACCTTGCGACAGTGAGCGCTCTCCCGGTATCACAACTTGGTCCTGCTTCGATCAGCTGATCTTCACCAGCCGGCATCCATCCACTGGAAAACGTGACCCGGTCTCAATCGCTCCGGTGTCAGCCGATTGAACAGTGCTGCAACCCTGTGATTATCAAATCAGTGATATAATGAACAAGTTCTCGGCACTACTGCAACATATATTATTTACTTTTCCGTTAAGTTCGTGCTATTTACACGTTAACATCGCACTTCCTCGGCAGCCAACACACAAAGTCGGTCTCTGCGCACGAACTATCAGTTGACCTCTGACGTAGCGAACACACCTCCAAAATCAGCCAATCAAAGGCGAGGAAAGTGTACCAGCCGCTGCCTCTCGCACAATGAGGGGTTTATGTATGTTTTTACAAAAAGCAGTAATGTCGCGTTGATCTTAGATTTGATAACCCTGTAAACAGACTGAGAATACATTAAACCAGCAAATTTACTTTGTTTTACTTTTAGAAAAAAAAAAATCTAAATATTTTTAAACACAGCCTGTGTCATGCTCAGTGCAATAACACAGTAAATATTGATATGTCACGGATATTTATAAATTCACGAGTGTATATATGATATATATGATATCAACAAATGCAGAACATGACATATCATGAAACTGATCCCTGTGTTCCCAGGTCGACGCGATGAAGCCATTTTTTTACACAAGAAATGTCAAAAGTTGAAATTAATATATATATTTAGTATATATGATTTCTTCGCTAAATACACAATAAAACTGCATGCTCTCTCATTTCGCCAACCCGTGAAGATCCGGGTTAGAACTGATCTTCAGCAACCCATGCTTGTCGTAAAAGGCGACTAACGGGATCGGGTGGTCAGGCTCGCTGACTTGGTTGACACATGTCATCATATCCCAATTGCGTAGATCGATGCTCATGCTGTTGATCATTGGATTTTCTGGTCCAGACTCGATTATTTACAGACCGCCGCCATATACATGTAGCTGGAATAATGTTGAGTGTGGCGTCAAACTAAACTCACTCCCTCACTCCTCTTCGTAAATTAGTGCAGTTTTTGTACATTCATCCGTTAGGTATTTATTTATTTATTTATTTATTTATTTATTTATTTATTTATTTATTTATTTATTTATTTATTTATTTATTTATTTATTTATTTATTTATTTATTTATTTATTTTCTGTTGATTCTGTTTCTGTTTAAAGTATGTTTATTCATTTAATAACAATATAGTCATATATGATTATGGTTAGAAGCACAATATCATGAATACATCACATGACGTCACGGCGTGTTTGATATACAGGTAGCATTGCTGTGCAGTGATCCCGACCGTGTAATCTGGGACTAGACCTGCTGTAGGCACACGACCTACATAAATACAGTATGTTCAGTTCAGCACTGAATATAATAGACTGTACAATCAAGCCGGTTTAAATACGTATCACGTGACCTGCCCCTTGTTGCCATGTCGGGCAGAGATCATTGTCCCGCTGTTCGTTGGATATATGATATTTGTATGTTAAATATTAAAGTAGCAATTTACCTCTAAACACCTGTAAATCACGCTTCTAAATCTATTGCTAGTGAAAAAATTCTGCTAAATGATCTGGGACAGGAATAACTGTGTGTACTGTTTAAGATTAATTAAGACTGAACTTTTTATGATGAGTAATTTCTATATAAGCAAATATTTTAGTTAATGCAGAAATCGTGTGATCGATTAATTCAAGTAGAATTTGAATTGGTAAGTAAAAAGTGGTAAGGATACAAACGAATTCAATATTCTCGTGTGTTCGTCATTTTCAAAGAAAGTTCGAGTGAATGAGTGGGTATGGTTTTACGTCTCTTTTATCAATATTCCAGCAACATCACGGCCGGGGACACCAGAAATGGGCTTCACACATTGTGGGGAATCAAACCCGGATCTTCGGCGTGACAAACCAACACTTTAACCACTCGGCTATCCCACCGCCCCCAGTGTAACAAGGGAACAGTTTAACTGCTCATCTGCTCTGTCTGTCTGTCTGTGGGTGACAGTTATCACGGATATTCATTCCGGCACAATGACTTGGTTGTCACATGTCATCGTATCCCATAGAGGTATGCTCATAATGTGAGGAACGGATCCTTATATTTACATACCCGTGAAGATCCAGGTTAGAATTGATCTTCAGTAACCCATGCTTGTCGGGTGGTCAGGCTTACTGACTTGGTTGACACATGTCATCGTATCCCCAATGCATAGATCGAGCACTGGATTGTCTGGTCCAGACTCGATTATTTCCAGACCGCCGCCATATAGATGGAATATTGCTGAGAGGCATTAAACAGCAAACAACATACCGGCGTCGAATAGTTGAGTATTATCATTGACTATATGTTTGCGGGAACATTGCCGAGTGCGGCATCACATAACATGCAACTAAAACAACATATGTGCATACAGTGGCTGAAAGATGACCTTCAGTTTGTAATGATATATCGTACCACCTCGGCAGACAACCATCTACACTCTTGGACTGAGGTAGCTTTTGTACATTTAGATCCAAAACGGACCACAATTTGTAATATATATCTACACACGTGTATCTCTGTTCTGGAAAGATGACATTGATGAACGCTGGATCAGCTCCGCGACGTTGTGACCACGTGGGATATCGAACACGGGTCTTCTACGTGGCGAGCAAACGCTTTAACCACTGGGCTACCCTACCGCCCCTAAACATGCGATAGGGACACGTATAATTTATCCTTGTGCTCATGCAACGAGAGTCCTCTATAAGTGGGTCGTAAAACCAACGTATTCCCCTATAAACGAGTGCGTCTGTGTGTGTGTGTGTGTGTGTTTAGATATAAACTGCATGGCATAAGAAAGCGTACACATAAAAGTCGGATATGACCAAAAGATTTCAAACGTGATTAATACGTCACTAGTCTGAAAAGAATCGCGGACACAAATGATTACTTTTTTATTTTTTCAATAGCCTTTTAAAGACCTTTCTTGAGGATGAAGGGTCAGAAGAAGGTTCCCAGTAACCGTACCTCGATGGTATAGATCGGTGCTCATGTTTTCAGCCTCTAGGTTTCGGTGATATGGCTGCAAATTGCTAAGTGTGGCAAAAACCAACATTCACCCATTGTTTTAAAATCCCTATTGAGGAAGCCTAGAGGTGAAAGCGTTCGTCCGTCACACCGAAGGCGGGGTTCGATTCCCCACATGAATATATTGTGTGAAACCCATTGTGGTGTCCCTCGCCGTGATATTGCTGTAAAATTGCCTAAAACTAAACTAACTCACTCACTCACTCACTAGAATCCCTATTTCGCCGGTTTTGTCCGACATTTGTGAATACTGTCATTAGAAGCATAAAATATACTTACCTATAGTTCAGGGACTATAGCTCACATCAAGAAAACGACCAAGCCTCTCAGCACAGAAACTAACGGTTAATCAGTAAGGGCGGTCAGCTTCAATTCAGATCCTTGTTTCTATAACCAGTGTACAAGTCATCGGGGTGTACAGAAGCCTACGTGGTGATAATTATAGATTCAGGAAACGTTGTAGGCTGACATAGCATATACTCCCAGAAAAATAGATATCTCATTTACGTACAAAATAGAAATTTCAAATGTAGTACAAAATAATGTCTAATTTTGCTGATGCCAACTAAACGTTCCTAACCATTCTACACTTGTAACTATATATCTAATACTCTCCCTCTCTCCAGCGAACAGTTATCGCCGCGTAACGGTTATAGCGATTATACACGCGATTATAATTCCGGTCAATTACAAATCCGGTATTTTTCCCCTCGGTATTTGACAACAATAAAGGTCAGCAAAAGAACATTATTCACAGTAAGTAACAGAAGAGAACAATTAAAGAAAAGTTATGAACCCTACAATGTTTTTTTCAACTTAGTCGGGGGGATGTCACACGATCTATATAATAGCAAGTTCAAGTTCACAAGTCATTAATTGTTTCATTCCCTATCAATCTACTGTATAAGAAACACTCAAACAGTCACACAACCAATTATTCGAAGGCACTGTATGATATAAATATAAATTTATATTATTTCACGAATGGCATGAGAAATTCTAAATGGCGATAACTGTTACAATTAGTTGTGAGAAAATATCTATTTATGCTGCCATGATTCCCTCCCGCCGCGTTATAAGAACGGGGCTGGACACATCGGTGAATAGCTAATTAAGTATCATCATTAATTCTGTTTCATTAATTTAGCGAACGGATGAGTAAAGCTCTCTCTCTCTCTCTCTCTCTCTCTCTCTCTCTCTCTCTCTCTCTCTCTCTCTCTCTCTCTCCCCCCCTCTCTCTCTCTCTCTCTCTCTCTCTCTCTCTCTCTGTGTGTGTATTAGTGTCGGCTAACAGTATCACCGAACTGTAATCATGATATAATCCGCTCACATCGTTCGCTCACTCTGTTATAAAGGTTACGAAGAGCAAAACCTGTAATTATTCAGCCATATTGTAAAATACAAAGACGTAATGCGGTGAATCCACTGTTCGGCATCACCTGCATGACGAAGGTCGAGGTCAAAGAACCACAAGTGACTTGAAACATTCGTCAGTCAGCTTCCTGCTTTTATGTACAGTGAGGACCGTGGTCTGGATGTCGATCTGATAACACAAAGCTGTCTTAAAAGATGCCAAATGTATAACGTTGTCCCATGGGCCGATGGCCTACATCCACATGAAATAAAGACTTGACTTGATATCTGACACGAACCCACTGACAAAAGAACAACGTTCAGCGTTCCAGCGTTCATCAATGTCATCTTTCCAGAACAGAGATACACGTGTGTAGATATATTACACATTGTGGTCCGTTTTGGATTTAAATGTACAAAAGCTACCTCAGTCCACGAGTGTAGATGGTTGTCTGCCGAGGCGGTACGATATATCATTACTAACTGAAGGTCATCTTTCAGCCATTGTATGCACATGTTTTTTTAGTTGCATGTTATTTGATGCCGCACTTGGCAATGTTCCCGCAAACATACAGTCAATGATAATACTCAACTATTCGACGCCGGTATGGTGTTAGCTGTTTAATGCCTCTATCAGCAATATTCCATCTATATGGCGGCGGTCTGGAAATAATCGAGTCTGGACCAGACAATCCAGTGCTCGATCTATGCATTGGGGATACGATGACATGTGTCAACCAAATCAGCAAGCCTGACCACCCGACAAGCATGGGTTACTGAAGATCAATTTTAACCCGGATCTTCACGGGTATGTAAATATAAGGATCTGTTCCTCACATTATGAGCATACCTCTAAGGGATACGATGACATGTGACAACCAAGTCATTGTGCCGGAATGAATATCCGTGATAACTGTCACCCACAGACAGACAGACAGAGCAGATGAGCAGTTAAACTGTTCTCTTGTTATACTGGGGGCGGTGGG